GCCACACCACAATCCCTTCTCCTCCATTCTTCTCTCGGGATCTTGGGCACGCACGCACATGCACCTGGCGTGAGTTTAAGCCACCAGGTCCGAGACTCGAACCGCAGTCCACTACATGGGAGTCCAGCGACATAGCCATTATGCTAACTACTGGTCCCAGGGAATTTATAGTTTTAAATGATTATATTAGAGGAGAAAAAAAAAAGGCTGACCCAGTGTGGTGGCACAGTGGGTAGCAGACTGAATGGACTGTAGATTTGGATCCCCAAGTTGGCTTGAAAATATTCAGGTGCATGCCCACATGCCCAAGATCCTAATGAGCTGGCAGGCTAGAGAAGCGGCACACAGTAGAAGTTCCTATCAAGAGTGCTTCTCTTGGGAACCAGCAGATAGCGTAATGGCTGTGTCACTGGATTCCCACGTAGTCAACCGCAGTTCACGTCCCGGACCTGGTGGCTTAAAACTCACGCCGGGCGCGTGTGTGTGCATACCCAAGATCCCGAGAGGAGAATGGAGGAGAAGGGATTGCGGTGTGACCATCCCCCTTGGGGGTGATTTCTCGCTTTCTGTCTCTCTGTCTCTTTGTCTGTCTGGCGAGCACATGCGCCCAATAGTGAAAAACCTCTTAAAAAAAAAAAAAGAGTGCTTCTCTTTTTCTCTCACTCACATGTGCACATGCTCTCTATTATAAATAAAATAAATTTTAGAAGAGAAAAAAATAAAGATTTAAATGAACAATCTAAATTTTAAATTCAACAAACCAGGGGAAAAAGACAAATTATGTTCAAATTAAGTATATATTAAAGAGTGGAAATTATTAAATTATTAATTATTAAAATTATTATTATTAAGTAAATAATAAAGAGTGGAAATCAATAAAGTAGAAAATGAACAAATAAAATAGAAAACAGGAAAAACGATATTAAGACAAAAGTCAGTTCTCTGAAAATAGTAATGAAATTAGTAAGCTCTGAGCAAGGGTAATAAAGAAAAAAGAGAACACAAATTATCAATAGAAAAAATGAAAGGGAGGATGTTGCTACAGATCTTTTAGCTGTTAAAAATCTGACAGAAGAAAATGATCTGTATTTAAATAGTCAGTCTGCAGATTCTTTAGCTGTATCTAGTATTTGCTTTGTAGATTCTACATACATGGTGCCTGAATGAGAGTTACACTACTTCTTTCCCAATATGTATGCCTTTTCCACGTGCCTGGTTGAACTAACTCGCTAAGACCTGCAGTACACGTTATTGTAAATTAGAGTGGACATTCTTACTTTCTTTCTAGTACTCGAGGGAAGACATTTAGTATCTCACCACTAAGTGTAATGTAGCTATAGGTTTCTGTTCTAATTGCACTGGGGAGTCATGGTAGGGCTTTATTCGCATGAGTAACATTATCTAATTTACATTAAAAAAAAACTATTTGGGCTGCTGAGTGGGGAAGAAAGACTAGAATTTGGAATCTTCACAGGGCTGTTGCAGTCATATGGTGTGGGTAGAGGGATCTCAGACCAGAATAACAGCAGTGGAAATGGAGAGAAGTAGAATTTGGGGATATATTTTGAAGGAAGAGCTGGTAGAACTTGCTGGTTTATTACATTTGGAGTAAAGGAAAAAGAAAAAATATATATGTAACTTAAACAACTAGGTTTACTTCAGGTCGTTTTCCTACAGGTTTTAGATGTTATTTATCTCTTCCCCATCCCTGCCTCCACATTTTTTTTTTTAAGGTTTTTGCAGTAGGGTGTGTGTGCTCTCCAGAAACAGTGAGAGAGAAAGTCAGAAATCACTCCCCGGGGGGATGTCCAAGCCACAATCCCTTCTCCTTCATCCTCCTTCTGGGATTTTGGGCACACACGCAGGCATGCCTGGCATGAGTTTGAAGCCGCCTGGTTTGGGACACAAACTACGGTCAGTCCTGTGGGAGTTCAGTGCCTTAATCAGTATGCCACCTGCTGGTCCCTTATTTTCCTTCTTTAGGATGGCTAGTTAAAATAGATACGGTATTTTTTCCTTTCTTTCTTTCTTTTCTTTTTTTTTCTTTTTTTTTTTTTTTTTTTTTTTTGTAGGTTTTTACCATAGAGTATGTATGCTTGGCAGAGAAAAACAGAGAGAAGGAAAATGAGAAGTCAATGGCTGCCCCACAATCCCTTCTCCTCCATTCTCATCTCAGGATTTGGGGCACACACGCACATTTGCCTGGCAGGAGTTTCAAGCTACCTGGTCTGGGACTTGAACCATTGTCAGCCATGTGGAAATTCAGTGCCTTAACCACCACACCACCTTCTGGCCCCAATACAGTATTTTTAAAAATCTAGCCTTATGTTATTTCAAATTTAAGTATTTTTTTAATAGGCAGAACATCAAAGAAAGAACAATGGTCAACATTTATTTATTTAGTCAATTTAAGATATTAGAGTTTTTAATTAAATTCTATATCCTTCTTTTCAGGTTTATTCAAGAATGGTTTTCAGAAAGGACACAAGTGGCCAAAGTGGATTTCTCTACAGTGTTACCACGCTTCCTTTCTCTGTATATCTTTTCATTTCTGAATCCAAAAGATTTGTGTGCAGCTTCGCAAGTCAGCTGGCCCTGGAAGTTCCTAACGGAACAGGTTAGTTACTACACTTCTCTCCCGTAATAGGACACAAACACAAGTGAATTCTGTCATGAGGCACACGGGGTCGCTCCCATCCCTGAAGACAATAGCTGGACCGTAGTGAACTTACCCTTAAGAGAGAAAATGGAATAAATGAAATACAGTACTTCATTTTCATAGGTAAATAAGAGGATATACACTATTCCAATAATCCATGTAACTTTAAAAGTTTTAAAATATTCAATTATTTAGAAAACTTTGTTTTAAATAAAAAAAAATTTTTTTAGAGAGTTTTTTTTAGAGAGACAGAAAGACAGAAAGTTAGAAGTTACCGCCCAGGGGTATGGCCATGCCGCAATCCTTTCTCCTCCATCCTCCTCTTGGGATCTTGGGCACGCATACACAGGGTATGAATTTTAAGCCACCGGAGTCCAGGACTTGAACTGTGGTTGACTAAATGGGAGTCTAGTGACGTAACCACTATACCATTTGCTGGTCCCTAGAAAACATTTTATCAAGATTAAATGAATTATTTTTTTCTTTGTGAAAAATGATTTAATATTTGGTTTTTATGTGATATTATTTTATCCATAACTCAATTCTAGATAATTGTCACACAACCAGAGCTTTAATTGATCCTTCTTGGGCTAACATATGTTGAAGAATATAGATTTTTTTTTTCTTTTTCATTTGCTAGAGGGTGCATACACTTGCCAGAGAAAGATAGAGATGTAAGAAATCACCCCCTACGGGGTGTAATCCCTTCTCCTCCAGGGGTCTTTGGCACACACGTTCCCTATGTGTTTGTTCAAGCCACCAGGTCCAGGACTTGAACAGCGCAGTCAGCCATGTGGGATCCAGCTGCCTTGACCACCAGGACCTTGGCTGACCCTAGGTCACAATTTTTTACCAGCAGCTCATAGTGAACAGCGGCAGCTGTTTAAACTCAGCATCTTTGACCATGAATTCTGCCTCTGGTCTATTTGCCTCCTCATTCTCTTTTAAAAGATTGAATAGGGAACCAGCAGTTAGTGTAATGGCTATGTCGCTGGACTCCCACCCTCACGCCGGGCACATGTGCGTGCGTGCCCAAGATCCCAAGAGGAGAATGGAGGAGAAGGGATTGCGGCGTGACCATCCCTCCTGGGGGGTGATTTCTCACTTTCTGTTTCTCTGTCTCTCTCTGTCTGTCTGGCGAGCACACGTGCCCTATAGCGAAAACCTCTCCAAAAAAAAAAGATTGAATAAAATGTAATAGTAGACATACGTTACGTGCAAATCAATAACTTACTTTTAAAATTATTCAAAGTTTCCAGTGTGGGCTTGTGCTGATATACTGATTTCAGAGATCTATTAGCTATCCTGGCAGGGCCACATGTGAAATTCTACTGTGAGTCCTGGATTTATAGCACTTAAAATTCCCTCAATGGGACCAGCAGATGGCGTAATGGCTACGT